GCCAAATAATATCGTTGTTTTAACACAAATATAATATAGCTGGATTATATTCTCGTTTCAGTTTTAATATGCTAGTGTCTAAACGTGAATGATTTTCGGATTGTAAAATGTTGTAGCATTGCTCATATGTGTTGTTTTTGTATAGCGACTATTTAAAATTGACGCGTAGTAGAATTTTTACGATAACAGGTACAGTTGTATAAATTAATTATGTTTTTTTGTGTGTACAATTTTCTTTTTTCCCGTGATGTAGAATTAAGAATGTTTTTTAACTGGACCGGTGAATGGGGGACAGGGGTTGACTGAGGGGGGGGGCCGTCTTCTCTTGAGAGAAATCCGCTTTTATCGTCACGGTACTTTACATCAACAATGGCAGCGCCGTGCGTCTGCGAGCACTATTGGGAAGGACGGGGAGTTATATACTCGTGAAAGTAATAATGACAGTGTTGAAATATCACCGGTGGATACTTTTTGGGAAAGAGCACTCCTCCCGCATTGCAATGTAGCAGCATCACGCTCGCGATCTTAAAATAGAGGCCATTAGAGTGACCCAAAACTGATGTATCATCTATTATTCAGAAACGTAATAAAACTTACACATGACTGTGTGAACTGTTGCGCTCTGCTTTTTTCCCCTCCCCGCGTTCGCTGTCACGAAGCACTCCTCTTTGTTGACGGGGCCAGCGCAAGGCTGCAGAGCAGAGAACATTGTTTTTCCTGAGTCCAAAGCAAAATCATCTCGAGCCAGGGTTTGCGACTCAAGTCAGTCGCCTGCACAACTCAAAGCTCTTAAACCCAAAATGACCACACGCACATCAATGAATGGCTGCTGTGGAATCTTTGACCCGTGGCACACTATGGAAAGGTGGAGTTAAGACCGATAAAGAAGTCGTTGCTTCTAGATTTGAAGCTTTCGTGACTGCAAGGATTCATATTCTTAGGTTTTTTCGGTAAAGTCACGTAGGTAAAACATTAAAATTAATAAAAAATAAAATAAAACTTCACGACGTTTCGGAGGCAACACAAGCTTCCGTCTTCAGGTGGAACCGCCACAGCCACGACAGCTGTATCAAGTAAATGAGAGATTGCAAGAGCTACCACTCCGTATATATATAATGGTAGGAGAGGGGGGAAGGGCCAAGTACGGCACACTTTTTATTCATATGGTAAGGTGAGGCTTAAGAGGGTGAGCCTTTGTTATGGAGAGGTACGGTTTGTGACTAAGCTTGGCCTACATAACAATAGTGTGAAAAAGAAACAACTTAACATGGTAAAACAAGCCTGGCTGTCTATCAATAACCTGTAATAGCTGTCTGTCAAATAAGATTGGCCAAATAAGTGTAGTTAAATATTTTTTGCATGGTTAATCACATCTTTCCAATGATTACTCAGTTTGTAACCATCATCACGGTTGAAATTATTTCTGTGTTTGTATATTTGTATGGCTTCGTGTACAAACCTTTGATGGTAGCCAGGAGGTTTGCAGATAACCTTGGTCTCGGAAAAGACAATTCCATGAGAGCCCACCGAGTTGTAGCAATGATCGGCAACAGCCGAAGAATCAGTTCTGCCGTGTTTCAGATCTGACTTGTGCTCGCAGACACGATCAGAAACATGACGTTTCGTTTCTCCAATGTAGCAATCACCACAACTGCAACTCAGTTTGTAGACTCCAGGATACTGTAAGTCAGGAACGACATCCTTCACAGATGGAATCAGATCACGGATTTTATGCACTGTACTGAATCGGACTTGGATCTTATGTTTGTTTAGAATTTTGGAGATCTTTCTGGTCACGCCTGCTATGTATGGCCACATGAAACTCCGACCAAAACTATCACGTTACCATACATAGCAGGCGTGACCAAAAAGATCTCCAAAATTCTAAACAAACATAAGATCCAAGTCCGATTCAGTACAGTGCATAAAATCCGTGATCTGATTCCATCTGTGAAGGATGTCGTTCCTGACTTACAGTATCCTGGAGTCTACAAATTGAGTTGCATTTGTGGTGATTGCTACATTGGAGAAACGAAACGTCATGTTTCTTATCGTGTCCGCGAGCACAAGTCAGATCTGAAACGCGGCAGAACTGATTCTTCGGCAGTTGCCGATCATTGCTACAACTCGGTGGGCTCTCATGAAATTGTCTTTTCCGAGACCAAGGTTATCTGCAAACCTCCTGGCTACCATCAAAGGTTTGTACACGAAGCCATACAAATATACAAACACAGACATAATTTCAACCGTGATGATGGTTACAAACTGAGTAATCATTGAAAAGATGTGATTAACCATGCAAAAAAGATTTCACTACACTTATTTGGCCAATCTTATTTGACAGACAACTATTACAGGTTATTGATAGACAGCCAGGCTTGTTTTACCATGTTTAGTTGTTTCTTTTTTCACACTATTGTTATGTAGGCCAGGCTTAGTCACAAACCGTACCTCTCCATAACAAAGGCTCACCCTCATAAGCTTCACCTTACCATATGAATAAAAAGTGTGCCGTACTTGGCCCTTCCCCCCTCTCCAACCATTATATATACGGAGTGGTAGCTCTTGCAATCTCTCATTTACTTGATACAGCTGTCGTGGCTGTGACGGTTCCACCTGAAGACGGAAGCTTGTGTTGCCTCCGAAACGTCGTGATTTTTATTTTATTTTACTTTTATTAATTTTAATGTTTTACCTACGTGACTTTACCGAAAAAACCTAAGAATATGAAGTCCTTGCTTGTTGCAGAGCTTCGCCGTTCGAATCGAGTGGTCGCCCTGGTTAATACTGCAGGTTTATTAACCAAAATATTCCACTCCATCTGCCTCAAAGCTGACGTTTAAAGATCCCATGACGTTATTCGGAAGAGTAGGCCATGGCCCAAATAAAAAAAAAAGGATTTGCAAATTGCTCAGTTTGTTTATGCGCAGAAAATCGTCGCTCCTTGCTGAGGAAACTCGCCAGGACCCTCCTGAGACTAAGTGAGGCTTCTACGTGGCACCATCCTCCCGAGTTGCTTACTACTCTTAGGACTGCATCGTCGAGGAGGGAAAGGTCTAATGGGGGGGGGGGGGGGGGGGAGAAAACATCACAAATACTGCATTGCAGTGCCATTACACCACGGCGCCACATTACTGAATATTCCCTGATGTGTAAGTGGTAGGAAACTGAATAAATGATGGGGCACTGTAATTGAGCTCATCGTCTGACAAGTGCGGGTCACACGTGGTGTGGCTACGCTGCTGTCACGGTGCGTGCTTCTTCATCTTAGTCCGGGATTCTTTACGGCGCTGATTAAGTGGACTATGGTCACGAGGAGTGTGCGTGAGTTATTGTGTTTCAGTTTAACACGAGGACGTTCGCGACCAGTATTATTCATAATGAAGGTTTTTGGGTTAGATCGCGTTATTATGAATGTGTCACAACCCTCCAACACTCAGTATAAAATGTGTCGCGCAAACACTGAGACGGGGGGGAGGGGACACTGAGACGGGGGGGGCTGAGACAGGGGGGGGACACTGAGACGGGGGGGGGGGCTGAGACGGGGAGGGGGACACTGAGACAGGGGGGGGGCTGAGACGGGGGGGGGGCAATGAGACGGGGGGGGGGACACTGAGACAGGGGGGGGGGACACACTGAGACAGGGAGGGGGGGCACTGAGACAGGGGGGGGGGCACTGTGTATCGTTGAAGTTGCAGACCCACAACCCACAAGTCACACAAAGTCTCGCGGAATCGTTAAATTTATTTATTTCTTCCACAATCCATTTGATGTCACTAGATGTCACTACTCATATTTCACCACTTTCCACAACCATTTAAGTAAAGTACAGTACCGGTGTTTATTACACACACAGCTCGCACGAACTGGGATTACATATCTCTCCACTGGCTGTCACACACAGTTAATTACAGCCTCGTTCACGAGCTTCGTTTAAATGTCATCGTTAACGCAACGTTGTGCTTTTACACTTAATTAGTGTCAGTGACCTCGTGTTTTTGCCTTGGGTAGGAATGGGCGATCGCATAAGGAGCGATCAGAGTCAAGATCTTTTGATTTAAAGCTTTCGTGACTGCAGGGATTCATATTCTTGGTTCTTTCAGTAAAGTCACATAGAAGGGAAATAATAAAATGATAATAAATATATTTATTCCCTTCTACGTGACTTGACCGAAAGAACCAAGAATAATAAGAAATGTTACTTTGGCATTTCCCTTGAAAATTATTGTTTATAACGATCCCCCCCCCCCCCCCCATGCATGTGTTAGCGTAAATATAAATGTGTCGTTAAACCCGCCACCGTCCGACACAGCCAATTTAGTGAGGTTTGTCACGTAAACAGAACACGCCAATTCGTTACTAGTACAGCACACCGGTGTGTTGGAGAGCAAATCCACAACGTTTACAATCTGAGTACCACGTTTCACCAGTAATTACAACTAGATTCATCAGGCGACATGTTCTGTTCACGTGACAAACCTTACTGAATTGGCTGCGTCGGGTGGTAGCGGGCTTAACGACACATTTATATTCACGCAATCTAACCCCAAGAAAAAACCTCTATTATAGATGACGACCTATTTACCGCTTGACATCAGCCGCTCCCAGGCGTCTGTGGTGCGATTCCCGGTGCTGACGCTTCGAACCCTGCGAGTCACTGCCGGGGCTGACAAGAATGCAAATGTGGAAGGTCAGCAGGGTGCTTCGATTCAAAAGGACACCCGTGCGAATCAGAGGCGCCAAGGAGCTTGCAATGACACGGACCGATGTTTTACTTGATCGTTGGTTGAAACGCATTGTTGCGTAATTGCTTAACACGTAAAAAGGGGCACAATGTGCGTGGTGGTTTAGGCTGTCGATCTGCCACCAACGGTTAGAAAACAGCATTTGTGGAAACATTATTTTGGCGATCCAACTCGTGGCATTAGCGGGGGCACACAAGGACAGAGAACAAAAAAACGCAACACATTCGTCAATAACACTGTGTGGCCTTCAAAAGAAAAAATATATAATAGGCGACGTTTCGGGCAATGACCCTTCTGAATAGCGTCATTTAGCTGTAAAGGATTGTCCAGATGTCTTGTGACTCCCATTTAATTCTCTAAAACGTAATATTTTTGTAAGTGCATTTTATTTAAAACAGAATATATATATGCGAATGAAAAAACAGTTAGAGGTCAATTAAGTTGGGGTCACACGACACCTGGACCACCCTGCAGACCAGGCTTCTTCACTCGTTTTCAGAGGGGGGGCCACTTTCACCAATGAGACATCGTCAGTGTGAGGGCCGCCACACATTTAAAACCATTGGGGCTTTGACAGCAGCACAATGATGATGATGATGGAGGGTGTTTTCACTTTTGTGTATTTTAGGGGGCCGCACGTCAGGGGCCGCACTAAAGGCCACCAGGGGAAGCCAGTGGCACCGCGGGTCTTGCTAATGAAGAACGCTGCTGAAGATTGCAAGGCAGTCGGTGCACGCATGTTCAGCTGTGCATCGTGAAGCATGTAGGGCGGTAAAGAGGTGGATATTATACAGTACGTGATGATCCTGCAGCACCGCAGCGTTCTGCATGTGGCAGCACGCACATGGGAAAGAGCACGGGCAGTGAGTGGCGAGCCAATTTGGCTGCTTTAAATGTCCACGTGATTATAATCTACTTCGTTGAGCTATCATTTGTGGCCAGACCGCCACAGAAAAAGAAGGGGACTTCACCTGGTAAAATCAAAATAGTTAAGTTGAATTTTTTCGTGTGATTGTTTAACTTTCCTATACTTTGCACTGCTATCGTATTTATGTCTTTTTTTCGTAACGTTCTGACCCGCCCCTACTGGAAATCTGTGAAAGAGAGCTTCAGAGTTCATCGGATTCCTCCAGGATAAATAAATATTCTGATTCTGAATTAGCACTATGCATGGAGTCTTTCTGCACACACACTCTGAAATTGATAACAATGTCTGCACTCGTGTTGCACACCGAGTTTACAACTTCTGTTGGCTCTTATCGTCCCTCTGGCGGAGAAGGCATCGCAACATCTCAAGACAATATTTATCAGTGGCAATTGGATCGGTTCAGTACCAAAAATCAGGCCTTGCTCTGGAACGCTGGCTAAAATATGCCCGAGTGCACAGAATGCTGTTGGAAAGATGAGGTTGTCAAATTCAATTGTCAGTGGCACCTGTGAGAGGCCTTGGGGCAAAATGGTCCCTGTATCCTGGAAATCGATGGCCCAGCGTCTTCTTCAGTGCCCATCTGCCCTTCTCTGGCTGAGACCAAACAAGATAAGAAATTCAACGAGCACATTAATACACGGGTGCATCCGCGAACAGTTTGGGGCATTGCTGAAATCGGCGTGCCCTCGCGTGCGATTGAGAATGCTTGGGTACAGTGGCTCGGAGCAGCAGTGAGTGGAAAGGTTTGTGCCACGTCCTAAGGGCGATCATATTTTTTTAATGTGGTGGCAGCATCCTCGGGTCCATGGGCTGAGTTCCCACTCCTGCATGGAAAAGTGGGTTTGGTGGTGGGGGTCTCATCTCCCCTGACCGACTAATCTAATCCTTTTTTTTTGTAATTATATCAGGAAAAACAACATTGAGGCAATCTACTCAGATATAATGTGATTGCTATAACACAGAAGATTGTATGTCTATTTTAAGTGGCTTCCGGTCTCTCTGTCTTTTCGTCTTTGCATCTCTAAATCTCTCTGGCTATCTATTTGGTTTGTCTCAGTGTATAGCGCTCTCTCCCTCTCTGTCACTCCCAATCTGCTAAGCCCCCGCTCAGTGGTAAGTTCTGAGCCTGGGGATTCACAAGCAATTCCAACATAATTACCATACTCACCATCGCCATGAAAACCATCGCCAATACCACCACCACCACAACTATAATCATTCCAACACCATTTTAATCACCACCATTGCCACCACAACAACTAAAACCACCATTATCATCCCCACCACCACCAGAACACAAAGATCTCCCGTATAGCCTTAACAGACGGTTGGGGCAAGTGCTGTTACCGAGCAACTATGAAGGCCAGCAAGGCACACGAGGTGGGTGGCCAGCACCACAAACGGACGCCTTTGTCTCCCGAGTGGCGATGTTTACAAACTGCTACAGGTACTCATTTGAGGTAGAGTCGACCGAGGGGAGGCCCAGAACCAATTCAGATTATCGTCAGTAGTGTTGGCCACGAGCGGGAATCGAACTCAGGTCCCTGAGTTCATAGCGCAATGCACGAACTGCTACACTACCGCTCCCCAGAACACAACCACCACCATCATGACCTCTAGGCTCAGCTCCACTGCACCACAGGCACGATTGCGCAATTCAATCAAGTGCTCACCTGGTCATGAGTGCCAGACAGCGTAGGTTCATCCGTGGAAGTCACGTGATCTTTAACAGCATCTGCAAATTTTAAATGCATTTTTTCTGTTGCTGGCGTCATCTGCAGAAAAATAATAAACAGAGGTCAGAGCATCTCGCTGTAGCCATGAGCAGAAATGCCAGAGATTGGTAAAATGCTGAAAAGGTTTATTTGATCGTTTATAATCAATATGTAATGTAAAAGCATGTAATTAAATCGATTTTGTTGGGTTAGGCCACAGAATGAACTGGCCATATTTGTGTCGTAAGATTCTCTACCACTCGACACAGCCATACAAATGAATTGTCACGTGGGTAAACCGTTAACACACCAATTATGATTGTTTCAGCTCACTGGTAAGTTGAATAACGATTCTGACAAATTTAGAAAGTTATTCTGACTTCTTGAATTCTGTCATGAAGATCCTTCGGCAAGCTTCAAGTAAAACGCCACGTGTCTAATTTTTAAATGAATTTGTGAGAATTTTGTTCTAACTCAGCGTTGATCAAGCTGAAATAATAACGATTGGTACATTGTTGAACGCCTGTGCACCACGTGACAATTTAACTAATCGCGCTATGTCGGGTCCTGGAGGGAGGGTTCTTACCAAAACACATCAGGCCAGATAATTAAGTGGCCTAACCCCCCCAGAAAAACCTCTATTGTGAATCGATACCATTGGCTGCAAAAGCAAAAGTGTTGCACAAATGACAATGTTGCAAATGAGTCTGGCAGAGCAACGCAGAAACCACCTGCCGGGAGACCAGAGCGGTGGCGCCGTCGGAGGCTTCGGCGGAGGGTGTCGTGGGCGTCTCCTGGGCGGGCGTCGCGTGAACAGCGGCGGCGCTGCGAGGGCACGTCCGGCGGGCTGCCTGGGAGGACGCTCGCAAACTCCTGTGGCTCGTCGGGCGGCTCGGGAACATCGGAGCGGTCGTGGGCCTCGACGTCCGGAGCGAGTCGCGCGTGCGCGCCCCGCGCAGCTGGGGACAAGCGGCCAGCGGTTGGGTCAACCCAAGGGGGGTCGGCAACCCGAAATTACAAACAACTCAATATTTCAAGTGCCGCAATGCGCTATGGTAAATGCCAGACAGTGGTCCGTTAATAGATCGTGTCGCGAAGCAGCGGTCCTCCAAGAGCCGCCACACGCGAGCCCTGGGTGAACGGCTCGTGCCGGCCAAGGGGGCTCAGCTTTACGTGCGGACAAAGAATAATTAAACCCCATTGCCTTTGTAGGATGAATTATTGCTTTGAAGAGGTTAATGATTTTATTCAAAACTAAAAGAGGAATACATCTGTTTTTTACGTGGAGAGATGGATATATGAAGTAGATGTATTTACGTCTGGGATGTGACCTAATGGACTAATTTCTGTAATGATAACCTTTATCTTGATAATTGGTTCTTTACCCTTCTATCTGGCAACAAAACTGACACCTTTTTACAAGGAGTCATGTTTGCATAGACCGCAATACCTGCAGTCATAATACAAATAAAAGAACATAACTCTGATAACTTCAAGGACAGTGCACATTATCAGAGTTATGTTCTTTTGTTTGTATTATGACTGCAGGTATTGCGGTCTATGCAAACATGACTCCTTGTAAAAAGGTGTCAGTTTTGTTGCCAGATAGAAGGGTAAAGAACCAATTATCATATTTTTACTGGCAAATGAGGTTCCCATAGTGTAGAAACTTTATCTTGTTTGTGCTTTTTTTTTGTGCTATTTCTTTATTTATGTTATTCATTTTAATTTTTCTTGCTAGTAGTAGTAGGGTTTTCATTTGTTTGGTAATGGCTGTATATGGGATTTGGTCCCCTTATACATAATTAATGTACAGCGTTATGGGATGCTATTCGCAGAAATTACGCTCCATGAAATGAAAGTGCTATTCTACTTCGGATTACTTATTTTGTAATTTGTACTGTCCAAAACGGCACGAATGATTATTATGCATTTTGATAGAAATTTGCGTCGAACTAAGGACCCCAAAGTGTCAAGCGAGGAGGGTCCTTGCCTGCACGATCGGCAGTTCTCTGCATCGATTCAAGTGCGGCTGGCTCTGCTGATGAAACACTGCATGTCGAGTTTGCTTGGATTGAATGAACGCCGCTGAAATTACGCATTCCCAGAAGGCTGTGCAGATGATGGGTTGTGTAGGATATACGTTTTATTAACGTGGAGAGAAGGGGCAATGTGAAGGAGATACATTGTCTGCTTATTTAGTTTGGTATTTAGATTTTCCACAACCATGCCAATGCTTAATTTGAGTTAATTAAAATAATGGCAATTATTTGGCTCAGTTTGTCAATAAACAAAATCCCTTAGGGTTATAATGAATAAACAGCAGGATAAATTAAGAACTGGATTAATTGTGGGTGCTAAAGAAGTGCAACGTACATACATATTGTATATAGTTGGTGGCTGGTAAAGCGTGACTAGCTACCTGAATAGCAGAGAGTTGCAGTTGTTGCTTCAGCATCTGGTGATGCGATTTCTCAGCCTCCATCTAGCGTTAAGTTTCACAGGAAACAAAAAAGTGACACCTTCAATAAATGACATAAACCAAAACGCGACCAAATCTGAAATAACATCGCTTACAAATGGTGCAGCCGTGGGATTACTTGCTTACGCCAGGCCTGGTGGAAGGGCCTTCGCCGAAGTATGTTGGCCTACTCTTCCATGCTGGCCAGACGTCTTGGAAAGCTGGGAGCGCAAGCACTTTACCTCAACCACAAGCCACCTGCCAATCGGCGACCTGTGATGCACCCACTTAGATTGTTGGGAGGACAGAAGATTCATGAAGCGTTGCGCCAAACTTGTGACCTCTTGCGGCAGCAGTTTGCATGAACTGCTCTCGCTGCCGTACACAGCACGGAGGGGGGCGGGGGGGGGGGACCACGGAGGGTGATCACGGGGTGATGGGCGACCACGGGGAGTGGCGCCGTTGCTTTAAGCGTCGTACTCCGCTTCGAACGTCGACCACCAGCTGAAGTTTCGCAAATCGCTGCTGGAGTTTGCGCATCAAGATGGAGAACCGTGTCCACAGAGTGACAGAGCCGACTCTCTCCAACTGAGCTCTCGATCGCTAGGGGACAGATGCTGGCGGTGACGTTTCTGACGAAGTCGAGCCATTGGATGCCACGGAGGCATCTTTGGCATCGCGTATGGAAGGACTGCAACCAATCCAAATCGGCTTGAAGCAATGTCCAGGCGTCCGCACCACCGTACAACGACAACACCGACACAGCACAGCACTGATAGACTCTCCATTTGACACCCAGAAGAAGGGGATGGGAAACCTAAGAAAGTTGCGCCATTTTTTTTATGATCTACGACTTCTGGATTGCAAGTCCACTGTGCTAAGCGTCACACCATGGCAGCATACCAAAGTATGGTTATTAAAAATGTACATGCCACCAGTAATTGTGCCATTCATGTCTGTGCTCGAGTAGACTGACCTCACTCAGATGTTAGGCTTCAAATTGTTATTTCAGTTGTCCGGTAGGTTCTGATTATTTTCACAAGCATATGGCATTATGAGCCAGAGGAATTTTTTTTTCAATATTATGTTGAGGCTATGCAGGCATGTGTTTTCCAAGAACTATTCCTATAATTTATTAACTGCCACAAAGTCTTGCTTTGTTTAAATACTCCATCATTTAGTGTGTATTCTTTGGGGCTTCTGTGTGTTGTTCTATGATTCATATTCATCATCATCAGGACTAGAATAGGCTTCAGTGCCGACTGAGGGTCCTCTGTTGTCACTCGTGATGGATGACTTCAAGATGATTGTCCATGCGACAATTTTCTATCTTGTGGGAGAGGAATGAAATATGATCATTGAAAAGTCAAAGCATTTTAAATGATGAATTTCATACTTAGACTTTCATGATTAATCTCATTATTCATAATTCATTAGGGTTAGATCGTCCTGTGGGCATAATTTAAATGTTTTGCTACAATCCTCCATCACCCGAAAGAGTCAATCAAATCAAGTTGTCACGTGGACAAATATGCCAATTGTTGAAAAGCAAAACTTTGAAAATGATATAGTTAAAATTGTCCACAGCACTTGCCCCGACAATCTGTTCAAGGCTATATGGGGGATCTTTGTATGCGTCTGTATTAATAAGTGGGACTTGACAGTCCGGGTTATCACAGTAAGCGCAGTAGTTAATAGGAAGCTTTGAGCTGGTGACAGCACCTGCTACTCACGTGAAGGCGATGTGACCTGAATAGCAGCAGCCTCATCAAATTAAGGAAAGTAGATGCGGTGAAATTCCACATTAAGGGTAGTTTGTAAATGTATTTTATATCTTCCTTCGTGATTATGGTTTTGCACTTTTTTCAATTTCGTATGTTGTGTTTTTTCTCTCCAATTTCTCTTTGATGGTTTGTACTCTTGATTTCTAATTGCTTCATATTCGTACTTCGTTTCATGCTGTTTGCTTGGCCCCGTCACTTTTGCAAAAGAGACGTCCCTTGACACTCTTGAGTTCTCAGCTGCGTTGCGCAAAATAAACTTGAAAACTCAACACATTGTTGATGCCTTTAACAGAAATAATAATGATTTACACTTCTATGCAACTGGGCCGAGACATATCTATGCCACCGTGGCAAGATGTTAACTATTTTGCCTGTTATACAGGAGGTCGTGGGCTCGATTCCAACCCTGATGCCTGGTGTATATTTGAAGTTGCATTTTCTCCCCGTGGTAGTGTGGATTTTTAATTCAGGTCCTCCGGTTTTCCTTCCACATTTAGAATCAACATGCGTTTAGAGTATTTGGCTGCTATAAAACGATTCTTTTTATTTTACTGGGTAAGGCCCACTGAGCGATTGAGCTCTCATTCAGAAGTGACCTGGCCACAATGATAGCTCCAAAAAGTGGCTTATCATGTGGTAATTCATATCAACCAAATATTTTCTAGCATGTTTCTAAATGCGTAGGGAAAACCCGGAGAACCCGGAGAAAAATCCACACGGCCACGGGGGGAAATTGCAAACTCCAAATATACAGCAGGCATCAGGGTCGGGATCGAACCTGCGACCTCATTCATACCAGGCGAGGTAGCTGACATCTCCCCTAAATTTCCACGTGATAAGCCACTTCAATGATCTCTAATTTGCGATAGCCAGATCTCTTTTGAAAAAGAGCTTTACAACTCAGTGGGGCATTACCTGATAAAATAAAAATAAAAGATATTGGTTTTTTTTTTCTTCTCGTCACACCTGCTGCTTCCATGGCTCGTCTGCCCCGCCGAAGGTCTTGACAGCGGCGCTTCCACCACGCTGCTCGCGCTGGGCTCGCTGCTCTTGCCGGTACAGCTTGTTCATGTGCTGCAGTCGCTTGGCGTCGAGGGTCATCAGCAGGGCCTTCATGTCGTCCAGCTGTACGGGGGACAACACAACCACGTAGACACGCGGCATGTGTTTCACGTTGATGTTCGTGCATAACGGAATGTTGAAATTTTAGTCCCAATTTTTGTATATTTTTAATTCACATGTAATAATAAAAATTCACTTTCAACACACCGTAGACACGCGGCACGTGTTTCACGTTGATGTTCGTGCATAACGAAATGTTGAAATTTTAGTCCCAATTTTTGTATTCACATGTAATAATAAAAAAAATCTATTTCAACACACCGTAGACACGTGCCACGAGTTTCACGTTACATCTTGTTGAGTTACGAAGTGTAGGAAGTTTAGCCCCTATTTTTTAATTCAACCATTAATAACTGCATCATACGCGTTTGAACATATAAAGTTCCAAGAGTGAAACAATAATTTTAATGTGAACATTGTTCGTGTTCTCATCATTTAAACGAAAGTGGCGTCTTTGTGACGGAACTTTTTGGTGGTAAAAGCACTGTCATGAAAGTGACATCACTTCCTGTTACATCTCAATTCGGATCAATCTGAAACATATATTCTTTGAAACATCCAAAATTTTAATCTGGGCCTGGTTTTTTGGGATTGTGTTGGATTCATCTGGAAATTGGAAGCTCATCTCTAGCATCCACTATCGCTGACTGCAGCCAGAATTATTAGCCTTTCGTAAGAATTGGCATTTTCCTATAACGCGGTAGTTTGAGTTCCTAAAGAACACCGCGCTATGGAAAAATCGCGTTATAATAAATAATATATAATAGAGGGTAAAGCCATGCCTGTAAAGCCACCCTTTACTTTTCATATCCAGTTTGTTATTTCTGCGAACGCCACTTCTCACCCGTAAAAAGACTAAACTGGCGAAGAGGAACACTTTTCTGTCAAACAATTTGTTTATGGCATCAGTTCTGCAAACTGTCGCATCGGCAGATCTTTGAGACGGCCAAATAAGCCCCACTCACCTGAGAGCCTGCTGGGCTGCATTGGAGCCATCTGTGAAAAGTGCACTTAGCACTCACAGCCTTTGGGAGTCGGTTGTTGGCTTTTAAAAACATTATACTAACAGCGTATAAAACCTGATTATATATATGCGTGTGTGTGAACTATTTTTGGGTAACAATATGAATGCAATGCACAACTCTTCTTTATGTTATACTTAACATAGTGGCAGGATTCCCTGACATGCATTGCCTTTAAACGTTGTGAGTCTAACATTGGAAATAAAACAGTTGTGTTAAGATGTTAAACCACAAAACAAAATCCTTACTCAAGGAATCCTGTCTGGATTAACCACACGTACTTGTGATGAACATGCTCTGATAATATATGCATTGTCTTTGAAACTGATTGGTCCACACCAGAGACAGCTTTTGAGCCAAGTATCAAAGTGTTAGACCAGAGAACGCCAAAAGCAATGTACACTTAGTTCGCCGAACCTCACAAAGGTCGTGAAATGAGATGGTTCTTGGTGAGAGGCGTTCAACTGCTCGTGAAATGAGATGGTTCTTGGTGAGAGGGGTTCAACTGTTCGTGAAATGAGATGGTTCTTGGTGAGAGGCGTTCAACTGCTTGTGAAATGAGATGGTTCTTGGTGAGAGGGGTTCAACTGCTCGTGAAATGAGATGGTTCTTGGTGAGAGGCGTTCAACTGCTTGTGAAATGAGATGGTTCTTGGTGAGAGGGGTTCAACTGCTCGAGAAAGCGCCCGTGGCGTATTGGCCACACGTTCGCTTTGCTCGACATCGATTCTCACCTCGTAAATCCCTCTGAAGCTTTTTTCCGTGGTTCCAACCCTCGCTTCGTGCAGGTGAATGGTGTCCAAAGCCACGCAGCTACGCACAAAGAGACACCCGTTGTGAGTGAGGCAGCACTGCCGGGCGTGATCCCGCAGGCAGACAGCAATTTGCTCCAGCCAGGGACAACTCCAAGACTGAGCAACACAACTAATGGGGCGCACGCGCTGACGATTATAACAGAGCAATTTCCTGCATAACCACGGCGCCTAGCATCGCTTGCTAATACCCCGTAGGTACAAATGTACATTTAGCAGTAGCACTGCAAAAACGTTTACCCAATGAACACTTCAATGTCGGCCAAATGTTGGCATGTGGTTGGAACCGTTGGGCAACACGTTTGACTAACGTTGGTTCAACGTTCCGTGTTTACAAGGTACACAGTTAAATTAGAATGATGCAATGACATAGAATCATTGTGTAAGACGTGCTATTTTCACTATACGTTCTTTGAAATATTCAACGACGCCACGCGTTGCTGTTATACCAACACGAACGTGAAGGAAGCAACATATTAAGCAAGATCCTAACTATACTCAAATGTTGAAAAAAAGTACTACTACCTTATAAGTAAAAAAAGAAAGCTATATAAAATATCTGACAATCTGGCCAGTAGCCCTTTATTCATAGCAAAACAACAAATAATGAATTGAAATGTGGGCGGTGTGACACCATGGTTATTCGCAATTGAAAATATCTCACAGAGGCAGGAGGTCCATGAATTCGTACATCTGGATTCTGCCGGGTTCCACGTATCCTTCGCTTTGCTTGCTGTGGATGTGCTGCATTAACCGCCGTGGCGCTGTGATCCGTCCGCACATCTGTAAGAGCAGCAGCAGCAGCGCACACAGCGCTGAGGATATGCAGCGGCACTTCCTGTAAACTTTTCTCAGTCGGTGTTAGCCACTGAGGCCATGACGGGTTCATGTTTTTATTCCTGTTGCTCTGTGCCCCCCCCCCCCCCCTGTACCATTCCCGTTTTGCTGTGATGTACACTGATGTCTGCTTCATTGAGGGAGATATTGGCACGTCAAATAACGATTGATTGATTCTTCTTTTTCTTGTCGTATGGCTGCAGGTGTAGATGCAGAGCGACATCTTACAGGTTCACATTGAGTTGGGTCAAGCCAGGTAAATGCATCAGGGCTGTGTCATCGCCGTGATGTCTCCTTCGTATTTGTGGATCGGGGCATTGTATCGTTATACGGTGTTACGGTCTGTTCTGGATGACCACAGTCACACACTACGTGGAGAGAGTTTTTAATTTACCATTTGTACATCAGGGTAATCCGCATCGACTGCCATGGTTTGTGCAGTGGATGCGGTTTAGGGTGGACCGTTGACTGATTGATTTTGTGGACATTTGAACCGGTGGTTGTAGATGCTGTTGCACCGGCAGCATCGCATGATGTCATTTTGTGCTCAACTGTGCGCAGAGTGCTCTTGATTGTCACTGATTTCCTGTTCAAAATACATCTTCCCTCAGGCATTTTGCATGTTCCTAGTATGCATCCAAGGGCTTGGTAAACGAGCCTCTAGTTTTGAGAGTGATGTTCCCATAGACAATACGAAACAAAGACAATAACAAGGGCACATTTCTCTGCGACTCTGAAATGAGCGTACGGACGTGCATCACAGAGCACACTGATACCTGGGACAATCTGGAACCGTCTCTGCCAACTGATGTCTGCTAAGCTCTGACAATCGCTACTTTTAAGACCGGACTGAGTTTAATTTGAGTGAATATTTATCCTCAGCGCCATCTGCGTTTCCGTCTAAGCTCGTTGCTGAATATGGCCGCGCTTAACACATCTTTGATTTATTTATCGATACCACCTCCTCGTACTTTTTCAAACACTTCTGCAAACATGTCACATTTCCGCTACAAATCCTATTAAAGTTTTGTACTTATTGATGTTTGGATCTGTTCATAAGAGGAGTTTGCAGGGGGGACACGGTGTGTTGTAGAGTGAATCCACAACATTTACAATTTTTGATTACGACGTTTCGCTTGCAATTACATCCAGCATCATCGGCAATTTGCCAGAATGTGTTAAGCAGCCAATGAGTAAGGAATGCCACGTGAACAAAACGTGTCAATTCATTACTAGTTCACCACACCGGTTGTGTGTTGGAGAGTAAACCCACAACATTTACAATTCGAGTAGGACATTTCGCCAGTAATTACAATGACCATCATCAGGCGACAGCCAGAGCTGTGGAGAAATCCTCCTGTTTTTATTCAGTTTAAATTCTTCAGTTATGTTTTTAGTTTTTTTTAAGTACTTTTCTGCTGCTGATTGACGTTTTTGGTGATTCAACTTTCTGTGGTTCCTTCCGATCGAACATCTTCCTGAAACAGTTCCTAATACGAGCGGAAAGATCCTTGAGCAGCCTGCTAGAGAACAGCAGGAGAGAATTTGGGCCCATTCAAGGAAAATTTCACAAAGTAAAAAATAACTGTTTACAGATTCGATTATTTCCAGAAGCAGGTAGTAATAATAATTTGATGTTTCGAGCGTCATTCATGCAATTGCATCCCACACCGCTGCACATCAATAATTATCCAGTTCCGTACACAGATAATAATAATCAAAAATACTTAACAAATAAAAAAGGTGGAGGGAGGAAATGAACGATACGACTAAAACAAGGGACAGGAAAAACACCTTATACTAATTATAATAATAGTATGACAACTTGTAACGTGCACAGTTTTGCCAACAAGCTGAAGTTATAGCGGGACGGGGAAGTGTGGAATGTTTTTTTTAAATCCATTATTCAGACAAAGTATGACAGAGGATGACAGCGGAGATCGCTAGGAGATCGTGATACCTTGAGTGCCCGTATTAGGGTTCGTTCCTCCACCTCAATCCCTTTCTGGTCCAAGTGGTCGTACGCCGTGAAAGCCAGAGCAACGCTGCGTATTTCGGGAAAGCTGCCATGGATGATAACACGTAGTGGCGCACAGACACGGTTCGCGAAAACTGAATTCACTTATTTCAACATTTTAACGGTTGTGTAATAGAGCAGAGCCTTAAGTGATTTGGTCGCTAAGTGGGTAGAGTAAATACACGTTAAAGGCTTCATTCGTTCCGATGGCATCGAAAGTTACCCATTTTCAGCCAAAAAAGATTTTACAATATTTAAACAATGGATATTCATGCATAAAGCTACAAACAACATTATAAACACGTAACATTACAATAAACACGGTTAATCCATGCATTCATTAATATTCATTGGACCTACAAAAGCCTGCCATTAACAGGGGAATGGTCGGTAAGCGAACGCATTGGACTGGATGGAGGCACTCCACCACTATACACTATACACTACAATACACTATACACTACTCTACACTATACACTACTCTACACTATACACTACACTATACACTACTCTATATACTACACTACTCTACACTATACACTACTCTACACTATACACTACACTACTCTACACTATATACTACTCTACACTACACACTACACATTGGGCTGTATGGAGGCACTCCATCATTATACACGACACTACTCTACACTATACACTACACTACTCTACAATATACACTACTCTACACTACACTATACACTACACATTGGGCTGTGTGGAGGCACTCAATCACTATACACTACACTACTCTACACTATACACTACACTACTCTACATTATACACTACACTATACACTACACATTGGGCTGTGTGGAGGCACTCAATCACTATACACTACACTACTCTACACTATACACTACACTACTCTACAATATACACTACACTATACACTACACATTGGGCTGTGTGGAGGCACTCAATCACTATACACTACACTACTCTACACTATACACTACACTACTCTACAATATACACTACACTATACACTACACATTGGGCTGTGTGGAGGCACTCAATCACTATACACTACACTACTCTACACTATACACTACACTACTCTACAATATACACTACACTATACACTACACATTGGGCTGTGTGGAGGCTTGTTGTTAAGCGATTAGTCGTGAACAGGAGTGGTCGTTAAGAGTAGTAATCGTTTCAACTTGTAAAACACCGCACGGTTTTCATTCGCTGCTGAAGACAGACAACGGCTCAGAGGCTGGAGGAGGAACCGCAGACAAGCGGGAAAGGCAGCCTCGCGGTGAGCCGGTGCCAATCCCCCCTCCCTCCCCAAAGCTCTGCGGTTCTCTAGATATTAAGGTGTTATCGGACAATTAATGAGAGAAAAAACCCGGAGGACCCGTTACAGGTGTGCGTAGCCACCACCACCCAGCTAAAATGACGGATGCTCTTTGTATTCAGAGGATTTTATTTGTCGTTTTCCCCAGGTCTGCATTTGGGCTGCAGGCCGAGTGCCGGAACGAGAGGAGAGTTGGGACAGCAGGGCTGGGGCCACTCATGAGGAGGTGACCGGGTGGCTCGCAGAATGTGTCCCCAATGCGGGAAACCGCCAAGAATAGCAGAGGCCCGGCCACACAGCGCTGCGCACGGGTGAGAGATTCGTATTTAAGCAGAATGTTCGGGTACCTCTGAGCGAGTAAATTGGCCCGTTTTATTTTCATGCAACGCAAAAAGAACCGCGACAAAGGGAGGGGAGATACAAAATCTCTGCGGACTACATCCCCAACTCAGCCGTCCTGGGTCCAGAGATGGGGGGGGGGGGAGAAATTGGGCTCGCTGCCCGCCTCAAGCGCGCTGGGACTGCGAGTAGGAGGACAAACCACACGGCCTCTTCCCAAACGGGCCACGTTGCCTGTTTGTGTACTGACGCGGTCCTACCTCAGTGCTCTGGCATCCAGCAGCTCGATGCATTTCCTGATGACGGCCGCATTGTGGTAGCCGGTCTTGAGGTTGTACGTGAAGTGAAGCGGTTCGTAGAGGTGGCCCAACGCGATGTGCTTCAACAGCTCCTGCGACACGGAGCACGCCGTGACGCCTGACGACCGGCTGCGAACCGATGTTTTACTTTAACTCGATGCTCGTACTGGCTGCATGTAAGTTGATTTTCAATGAGGAAGCCAAACATTTAGAATGAGTTACTTCCTTACCAATCACACAAAGCAGCGCGATGAGTGATGTGACAGTCCACGTATTTACTGTGGTGGATTTGGACTGAATATCAAACCATATCAACATGGAATGTCGCTAAACGCATTCTAAATTGAAAAACTAATTTCTATACAACTGCTTGTTGTGTTTAGTTTGTTGTCCTTCCCCCGCGCCTCCGATTATCCACGGTTGGCTACGTAGGGTGGTGCGAAAGAAGTTCAACGTACATGCATACAATACACTCACCCACGTATTCACTCAACCACCCACTCACTCACCCAGTCACTCACTCACCCAGTCACTCACTAGCTCACTCACTCACTCACCCAGTCACTCACCCAGTCACTCACCCAGTCACTCACTAGCTCACTCACTCACTCACCCAGTCACTCACTCACTCACTAACCCAGTCACTCACCCAGTCACTCACTCACCCAGTCACTCACTAGCTCACTCACTCACCCAGTCACTCACTCACTCACCCAGTCACTCACTAGCTCACTCACTCACTCACCCAGTCACTCACCCAGTCACTCACTCACTCACCCAGTCACTCACTAGCTCACTCACTCACTCACCCAGTCACTCACTCACTCACCCAGTCACTCACCCAGTCACTCACTAGCTCACTCACTCACCCAGTCACTCACTCACTCACCCACGTATTCACTCACTCACTCACCCAGTCACTCACTAGCTCACTCACCCAGTCACTCAATAGCTCACTCACTCACTCAGTCACTCACCCACTCACTCACTCAGTCACTCACCCAGTCACTCACTAGCTCACTCACTCACTCACCTAGTCACTCACTCACCCAGTCACTCACTCACCCAGTCACTCACTAGCTCACTCACTCACCCAGTCACTCAATAGCTCACTCACTCACTCACCCAGTCACTCATTAGCTCACTCACTCACCCAGTCACTCACTCACTCACTCTCCCACTCACTCACTCACTAGCTCACTCACTCACTCAGTCACTCACCCAGTCACTCACTCACTCACTCACCCAGTCACTCACTCGCTCACTCACTCACTCACCCAGTCACTCACTCACTCACCCAGTCACTCACTCACCCAGTCACTCACTCACTCACCCAGTCACTCACTCACTTGCTTACTCACTTACTTACTCACTCAGTCACTCAGTCACCCAGTCACTCAGTCACTCACTCACCCAGTCACACACTAGCTCACTCACTCACTCACTAGCTCACTCACTCACTCACCCAGTCACTCACTAGCTCACTCACTCACCCAGCCACTCACTCACCCAGTCACTCACTAGCTCACTCACTCACCCAGTCACTCACTCACTCACCCAGTCACTCACTAGCTCACTCACTCACTCACCCAGTCACTCACTAGCTCACTCACTCACCCAGTCACTCACTCACTCACTCACCCAGTCACTCACTCACTCAACCAGGCCCTCACTAGCTCACTCACTCACTCACCCAGTCAATCACTAGCTCACTCACTCACTCACCCAGTCACTCACTCATCCAGTCAAACACTAGCTCACTCACTCACTCATCCAGTTACTCACTAGCTCACTCACTCACTCACTCACCCAGTCACTCACTCACTCACCCAGTCAATCACTCACTCACCCAGTCACACACTAGCTCACTCACTCACTCATCCAGTTACTCACTAGCTCATTCACTCACCCAGTCACTCACTCACTCACCCAGTCACTCACTAGCTCACTCACTCACTCACCCAGTCACTCACTCACTCACCCAGTCACTCACTGGCTCACTCACTCACTCACCCAGTCACTCACTAGCTCACTCACTCACCCAGTCACTCACTCACTCACTCACCCAGTCACTCACTAGCTCACTCACTCCCTCACCCAGTCACACACTCACTCACCCAGTCACTCACTAACTCACTCACTCACTCACCCAGTCAATCACTAGCTCACTCGCTCATCCAGTCACTCACTAGCTCACTCACTCACCCAGTCACTCACCCAGTCACTCACTCATTCACCCAGTCACTCACTAGCTCACTCACTCACTCACTAGCTCACTCACTCACTCACCCAGTCACTCACTCGCTCACTCACTCACCCAGCCACTCACTCACCCAGTCACTCACTAGCTCACTCACTCACCCAGTCACTCACTCACTCACCCAGTCACTCACTAGCTCACTCACTCACTCACCCAGTAACTCACTAGCTCACTCACTCACCCAGTCACTCACTCACTCACTCACCCAGTCACTCACTCACTCAACCAGTCACTCGCTCACTCACTCACTCAACCAGTCACTCACTCACTCACTCACCCAGTCAATCACTAGCTCACTCACTCACTCACCCAGTCACTCACTCACCCAGTCAAACACTAGCTCACTCACTCACTCATCCAGTTACTCAATAGCTCACTCACTCACTCACCCAGTCACACACTAGCTCACTCACTCACTCATCCAGTTACTCACTAGCTCATTCACTCACCCAGTCACTCACTCACCCAGTCACTCACTAGCTCAACCAGTCCCTCACTAGCTCACTCACTCACTCACCCAGTCACTCACTCACTCACTCACCCAGTCAATCACTAGCTCACTCACTCACTCACCCAGTCACTCACTCACCCAGTCAAACACTAGCTCACTCACTCACTCATCCAGTTACTCACTAGCTCACTCACTCACTCACCCAGTCACTCACTCACTCACCCAGTCAATCACTCACTCACCCAGTCAAACACTAGCTCACTCACTCACTCATCCAGTTACTCACTAGCTCATTCACTCACCCAGTCACTCACTCACTCACCCAGTCACTCACTAGCTCACTCACTCACTCACCAGTCACTCACTCACTCACCCAGTCACTCACTAGCTCACTCACTCACTCACCCAGTCACTCACTCACTCACCCAGTCACTCACTAGCTCACTCACTCACTCACCCAGTCACTCACTAGCTCACTCACTCACCCAGTCACTCACTCACTCACTCACCCAGTCACTCACTAGCTCACTCACTCCCTCACCCAGTCACTCACTCACTCACCCAGTCACTCACTCACTCACTCACCCAGTCAATCACTAGCTCACTCACTCACTCACCCAGTCACTCACTCACCCAGTCAAACACTAGCTCACTCACTCACTCATCCAGTTACTCAATAGCTCACTCACTCACTCACCCAGTCACACACTAGCTCACTCACTCACTCATCCAGTTACTCACTAGCTCATTCACTCACCCAGTCACTCACTCACCCAGTCACTCACTAGCTCACTCACTCACTCAACCAGTCCCTCACTAGCTCACTCACTCACTCACCCAGTCACTCACTCACTCACCCAGTCAATCACTAGCTCACTCACTCACTCACCCAGTCACTCACTCACCCAGTCAAACACTAGCTCACTCACTCACTCATCCAGTTACTCACTAGCTCACTCACTCACTCACCCAGTCACTCACTCACTCACCCAGTCAATCACTCACTCACCCAGTCAAACACTAGCTCACTCACTCACTCATCCAGTTACTCACTAGCTCATTCACTCACCCAGTCACTCACTCACTCACCCAGTCACTCACTAGCTCACTCACTCACTCACCCAGTCACTCACTCACTCACTCACCCAGTCACTCACTAGCTCACTCACTCACTCACCCAGTCACTCACTCACTCACTCACCCAGTCACTCACTAGCTCACTCACTCACTCACCCAGTCACTCACTAGCTCACTCACTCACCCAGTCACTCACTCACTCACTCACCGAGTCAATCACTAGCTCACTCACTCATCCAGTCACTCACTAGCTCACTCACTCACCCAGTCACTCACCAGTCACTCACCGACTCACCCAGTCACTCACTAGCTCACTCACTCAACCAGTCACTCACTAGCTCACTCACTCACTCAGTCACTCACCCAGTCACCCAGTCACTCACTAGCTCACTCACTCACCTAGTCACTCACTCACTCACCCAGTCACTCACTAGCTCATTCAACCAGTCACTCACTCGCTCACTCACTCACTCACCCAGTCACTCACTCACTCACCCAGTCACTCACTAGCTCACTCACTCACTCACCCAGTCACTCACTCACCCAGTCACTCACTAGCTCACTCACTCACTCACCCAGTCACTCACTCACCCAGTCACTCACTAGCTCACTCACTCACCCAGTCACTCACTAGCTCACTCACTCACCCAGTCACTCATTAGCCAGCTCACTCAACCACGGACGCTTGTGTTGCGCCCAAAACGTCGTGATTTATTTTATTTTATACCTACGTGACTTTACCGAAAGAACCAAAGAGTACAGGTCCCATTCATTCACTTGATTTGACGGCAGTGCATATTTAAAATAAAAAAACGTGAATCATTCACGGATAATTTGATGTATTTGCGACTTCTCTTATCCGCAAATATATCGCAAATAGGATTTCGTTCCGCAAAGACTTAGGGGAAAAAAATTACAGGAAGAATAGGATCGCAGATAATAGGAGTTTCTGTCACCCTACAGCTGCTGCGAATAATAGGGCCACGGATGAGCGGAGTTCTCCTGCCCAGGGTGTTCCCTATCTGCTCCGCGTCCACACACCCCACCACCACAATTTAGCATCAATGAATATGAATAAAGTTTGAAGCTTACTTACTTTTGTGTGAATACAGTCATTATTTGTGTTGATACAGCGCCCTGATACCCGGTGGCGTCTCGGAGCACGTTACATGCGAGAACCAACTCTAAATTAAACTATCTTTTATTTGACCAGGTAAGGCTCACTGAGCCATATCACTCTTTTTCCGAAGCATCCTGACCATGGATGATAGCTCAACGAAGTGGCGTACCACGTGGGCATTTATAGACGCAGAATTCTCTAAACGCGTGACGTTGATTCTAAATGTGGAGGGGAAAACCAGAGGACACGGAGAAAATCCTTGCGACTACAAGGAGAGAGAGACGCAAACTCCAAATATACAGCAGCAGGCGTCAAGGTCGGGATCAAACCCACGACGTCCTGTACACCAGGCGAGGTAGTTAACATCTCCTAGCCACGATGATGATGAGAGAGAGAGACGCAAACTCCAAATATACAGCAGCAGGCGTCAGGGTCGGGATCAAACTCACGACCTCCTGTAGACCAGGCGAGGTAGTTAACATCTCCTAGCCACCATGATGATGAGAGAGAGAGAGACGCAAACTCCAAATATACAGCAGCAAGCGTCAGGGTCGGGATCAAACCCACGACGTCCTGTACACCAGGCGAGGTAGTTAACATCTCCTAGCCACTGTGGCGCCCCCACACATCTCACGGCCTTTAAAAACAAATTTGAAAGGGCAACCCCGAGTAGCAGCTGTTTCTTTCTGCACAGAGTGACTCAGCAGCAGTCCGGATAAGCATGAGTCTGTCAGCATGGGAGTGATGATTGCTGTTACGTGTACTCTCTATTGAGCACTTTGGGGGGTAATTTTTTCTTAATTTGTCAAATCTGGAACATAAACCAACGCTGCTGAAATTATGAACTCCCGGAAGGCTGCGTGGCTGATAGGATGTGTAAAACAAGGTTGTTTTATGTTGAGGGACAGACACATTGTGTGGAGGGACAGACACATTGTGTGGAGGAGGCAGTCTTGTATGCGCATTTATTTTGTTACTTTGAAGCCGTTCATCTCCCAGACTGCTATGATGAGCATCACACGAGTTAATTTAAAGTCCCACAAGAAACAAACTAAACGTACCACGCTATAATGATTAGCACGGTTGGCTGCGTACGGCGCAAACGAAGTTTAACATGCATACAGTACTGTACAAACAAATGCTTCACAACTGCCTCTGGCCAATGATTGCGGAATCGCACGGTGTACACTGTATTTATTTGCTACACGTGAAACATTGACAGCCTCCGTGTAGATATCCGCTCTGCTGCACCGTGTAACTACGTGCTGGGTGCACTGCCCTTCTGGGCATCGGTACGATAACAGTCCCTCTAAAAAGCGTTCTATCAAAGGATAGAGGTTTAAGTATTCATTACGCTCTCGAAAGATATGTCATCAAGCCCAAGAGTGTCCTTAAAAAGTGTTTAATGCACGTGCATGCTGATAATAAACCGATAGAAGCTCTAAAAAGAGAGGGCATAACATGTAATAAACAAGACATGATTGACAGGGCTAGTCTTCTGACTTGTAGTGGCACGCACAGTAATTAAAACACATGTACTATTGGCACAGGCGAGGTTCACGCATTCACAATCACCATCAGGGAAGGCGTTTTTACCTATTAACCTGATACAGATTGATAGTAGCCAAATATTTAAACAGTGTCGCCATGGTGGCGAGACGTTAACTGCCTCGCCTGGTATACAGGAGGTTGTGGGCTCAATCCCGACCCTGACGCCTGCTGCTGTATATTTGGAGTTGGCGTGTCTCTCTCCCCGGGGGGTGTGGATTTTAATCCGGGTCCTCCGGTTTTTCCCTGAGTTTAAGAGTATTTGGTTGCAATAAATGTCCACGTGATGAGCCACTTCGCAGAGCTCCCATTTGTGGGCAGGTCGCTTCTGAAAGAGACCGATATCTTCGTGGGGCCTTACACGGTAAAATAGAAATGTGTTTAAATAGCTTAGTTGAAACAACTTGGCCAAGTACTTACATTGGGTGACAGACATGACGTTACGGAAAACAAGCCTGCACGAATATATATATTTTTTTAAACAGATATTTTGTTAGATCATCTGCAAAGTGTGTGGGGAAATTACACTGTGCAGCAACAGGAACACATGGGCAAACGTCGTGAGAATTATTTTATTTTGTTTTATTTGTATTATTTTATTACTTCCCTTCTACGTGACTTTACCGAAAGAACCAAGAAGATGATTTTAGCGTTTCTTTAAATAATACATGATACATTTGAGCAGGCCAACAACTTATATATAGTGCCGGTGAACATTGACTTTCGTATTTATTCAAAGGATTTCGAAGTACACTGTAATGTGTACTCAAGAGTATCCATTCGTTACCTTTGAGCTGAGGCCCAGTTCGCCGCTGTAGCCAACGCTGTGCAAACAGTTGACAATTGTATTCCTTGGGTACTGATGGAAAGAGAAAACAACAATATGTATGAATGTAATGAATCTGTGTGTTTATACAGGACTGTGATACAGATACAATTAGAACGAAAGGTGTGCGGTCATTTGTCCTGTTCAAAAACAAAATGTGTCGGTGGACTACTCACTCCCAATGCTGTTGCAAGGATCCTGGGAAGGGAGGAGAAACCACGGTTATGCATGTGTAGTATCGTGTATTTAAGTCTCAAAACACGGACGGTGGCAATTCACCCGCGGTAATCGCCGTCGGGTTCTCTCCGACACAGCCGGCAAGATTCGTTTAGGTAAAACTTCCACATGGCCCCAATCAGCGAAAACCCAATCAGGGTACAAGAAAGTGAGATGATTTGATGACACTGAAGGAGTTACCGTGCTACACCACGCACGTGTTGCGGAGCCATCAGGAAGGAGATCGTTCATCGTGAGGGAAATCATTGCCATGGAGTTGGAGGCCGAGCAGAGGGGGGTGGAATATTCAGTTTGAAATGACAAGCTCATGCATAGGGGACGTCCATAAATGATGTCACGCGATTTTTGACGATTTTTGACCCCCCCCCCCCACCCCTGGTCACACGGCGTCACAAAAAGTCAGACACCCCCTCAAATATGACGTCACAAAGCTCTGCCCCCCCCCCCCCAAATGAAACATGCTTCAAATCGCTTTAAACTATTGTCATTGTAGTGCGTATTTAATGTGGCGCTGCACTCTGATGTTGTAGGAGAAAACATTTATTAATAAGTCTATTTAATTAAGTAGAACGTGTTGTCTATATTTATTTAAAGTTGCGCATTTTGATGTGACGTCACATTTCTCAACCCCCCCCCCCTCGTCACCCATCGTCACAAATGTCTGACCCCCCCCTCCTAGGTGCGTGACGTCATTTATGAACGGCCCCATACTGCGTTACCCACGACAAATTACTCACAAATTGCTCAATAAGTACGTGCCCATCGCGAACAGTCAGAGTAACACGATCGGGAAGGCGGTGGGTGGAAGAAGACGCTGTTCGGAGCGCATTGGGAGCTCCGTGCAAAGACGTTTGCAAAACGTCGTCACAGGCCGGAAAGCCAAAATGGTGACCAAAATAAAGGTTTTTGGGTTAGATCGCGTAAAAATAAATGTGTCGCTAAACCCGCCACCACCCGACACAGCCAATTATTAAGGTTTGTCACGTAAACAGAACGTGCCTATTCGTTTCTAGTCGAGCACACCGCTTGTGTGTTGGAGAGTGAACCCACAACATTTACAATTCGAGTCCCGTGGCGTTTCGCCGGTAATTACCCAACAGCAGCAGATACACCGCAGATGACGAACACATTCTGGCTGAAACAAAATAGGTGATGGAATAAACTTGCATCTATTTAGTCCTCCCCCCCCCCCCCCGAGTTATTCTTTAACAATCGTTCGACTGCTGCACGTTTTGTCTCCAAGACATTCAATAGTGACCCATTCCCTGCCCTATTTAATCAATTGTCTTTTCGTTAAATTACGTTCAAGATTTCAGTTTTTCTTTTTTTAAACGGCTGCCCGCATGCAATGGGGGCAGCCATGGAGCCACGCGTGGCGAGTTGCCGACCCCTGCCCAAGCCGGAAGGGTACCAGGGGGACACGGCACATGGGCTGAGCACCGCTGGTTTAAGAGTGATAGTCACAATTTATAAACGAAAGCCTTCATACTCTTTGGTTCTTTCGGTAAAGTCACGTAGGTATCAAATAAAATAAATCACGTTTCGGACGCAACACAAGCGTCCGTCATCAGGTGGGAAAGCTGATGACGGACGTGATTTATTTTATTTTCTACCTACGTGACTTTACCGAAAGAACCAAAGAGTATGGATTCCTGCAGTCACGAGAGCTTCAAATCAAGATTGAAAGCAACAGCCAGTACCAAACCTTTTGCGACTTGGAGCATATCTCATCTTATTGTCATTCATATAGCGCCTTGATGCAAGGCGCCTTGATGCAAGGCGCTGGACGATACATTTACTATTTGTACGGCGGAAGAGTGATGAGATGATGAGTTGACGAGGATGGCCGTGCACGATGAATATGATGATGCGTGAAATGAACGACGATGAAAGTGACAATGAGTGGGTAAATGTCGAGTGCGTGTAATGATGAATGGGTCGGCGAAAGTTGGGAAGAAGAGGGCATGGCGGTGTTGATGATGGGGAAGGGAAGGGGGAAGAGGCGTTTGGGTTATTGAGAGCGATGATCGGTGTTTTACGGGAAGAGCGAATAAGAAACAGTGAGGGTGATTCTGATATCTTTAAGTGGATTTGTTTAAAATGTGGATGGAACGACGGAGAGGTGTAGCCTGGTGGGTGGCTGGGTGGCTGGGTGGGTGAATGTTGACACTGGTGGTGAGACTAGGCCATACAGAAGGCTGTCTGCTGTAGGCCAATCAGTTTCAAAGACAATGCGAATATAATAATTATCAGAGCGTGTTTGCATGTTTTGCCACAGGTACATGTGGTCGATGCAGACTTGATTCCTTGCACAAGGGATCAATTTGGTGTTTGAACATTTTAACATCTGTTTTATTGTCAGACACGATCAAACATATTATTATTGTTCATACTGGGGGTGATTATTATTCTTAGGTTTTTTCGGTTAAGTCACGTAAGTAAAAATATCAAAATAAAAATAAAATAAAAATAAAAATCACGACGTTTCGGAGGCAACACAAGTCTCCGTCATCAGGTGAGACGGAGACTTGTGTTGCCTCCGAAACGTCGTGATTTTTATTTATATTTTATTTTTATTTTGATGTTTTTACTTACGTGACTTAACCGAAAAAAAACCTAAGAATATGAATCTTTTCAGTCACGAAAGCTTCAAATCTAGAACTGGGGGTGATTGTTTGACGTGTACGGGGCAGGTTGTTCCAGTTTAAGGGGACCACAAGCGAGAAAGAAGGGAATGGTGATTGGGCACAAGGAGAGGGGGAACAGAGACAGCTGGGATTGTGGACTGAAATGAGGGAAGCGAGATGCCACGTTGGGCAATCTTCCACCTGTTCAAGAGACGGAGCTGCGTTGCGCCGACTGGAATATCAATGCAGTCCAGTATAGAGCATTTGAAACGTATTGCCTGCAGACTGCAGTGCAATGACAACTGCTGATGTAACGTGTGTGCGTTAAAGGCGAATGGAACACGAGATGTGGACGTATACAGTTACAATGCTGCTTAGCGTTTCTATGCAACTGCTTCTCACGACGCGATACAACAGGGGTGTGTGTGTGTATTCTTAATTTGAGGCGGAATCGAAATATTTTTTCGGTTGAAGACAGTAGCTGGCCATCGAACAAAGACGGTCACTGCATCGCGCGCTTTCAGATGTGCTTCCTTCTGATATTAGCAAGTCACTGGAGCTATGCTCTTTGAATCTAGATTGAAAAAAACTAATTTCTTTCGAACTGCTTTTTTGTTTAGTTTTTTGCCCTTCCCCCGCGCCTCTGATTAGCACGGTTGGCTACGTACGGTGCGAAAGAAGTTCTACTTTCAGTTCAGTTCAACTTTCATACAGAGAGGAGAAAAGGAATGTCTTGAGCCTGGACTTGGAACAGGGGCAGGTGAGTGAGGTGAGTGATTTGAGTCGACAGCACGGATGGCCAGGGAAGCGAGTTCCAGACAGTGTGGACAACAGCGGAGAAGGAAAGACATCCCGACATTGAAACTAAACACGTTACACTCCCTTCAAGGGAAGTGCAGAATAAAAAAATTAACCCGTAAAAACAAAGTTTTTCACTATAAATCCTTTATATGCGTGGCGGCTAGAGTCCTCTCGTCCTCTGGCTTGAGATGGCTGCCACCTATGGGTCAGATGATTGTCTGCCACCATTAAGCAATTGGTAATTAAATATTTAAAAACGTTTCCCTAAACAGTGTAAAATTTTGGAAAAAAATTTTCACGAAAATCAATTGTCACGCACAACGAGTCTGAGCAAAATGTCAGCTCGATTGGATCACGGGAAGTGGGTTAAAAAACGACCGAAAGATTTGCACGGTCGTAAGCAAGCAAGCACGCAAGCACGCAAGCAAGCAAGTGAACTTAATATAAAGGATTTAAAAATGAAAAGGTTTGGGACAAAGGCCCTTCTTCATGGCGCACAGAGAGGCCACCGAGGTAAAGTGAATAAGCCTTGGAGACTGCTCTTTACACCACGGGCCTGATGAGAATTGGATTAAAACATTGTTTTCCGATGAGCAGTTTGAATTTGACATTTGAATAGTTACGCAATTCAGTGTGCGAGATTCTCCGTCAGCTATCGCACTGCTCTTGTTCAACAGTCTCGGTGCTGTCGATACATTTCATACAATAATCCCATGTTATCTTCTATGTAAATGAAGACCTTAATCTGTATGTACGTCTCAAAAACCTCGAGGGTACTTTCCGACAAGGTAAAAAGCTGACATGTGGTACATATTGTAGGCAGCTTTTAGGAGACAAAAACATGCAGAGAAATCTGAAAATCCCCAATGGTTTCAAATGTATGGCGGCCCTCGCACTAATAATGTCTTTCGGCGAAAGTGCCCTCCTCCCCTCGGAAAATTTGTGAAGAACACTGGCGTGGATTGTGTGTGACCCTTTATAGCACGCGTTTTCTCTTCGTGTTTAATTAGCGGCACAGAAGCTGACGCGTAGCCAGCCGTCAGGACAAAATGCGTTGTCATATTTGAAACACGTTGCTATGGATTGTGTCTATTTTTGGCAACCGTTTGGAAAATGTTGCCAATTTTCTTTTGGGCAAGTCCCTCGTAGCAACGCCACTTTAAATGAAAGTTTTGCCCGTTTTGGATCATATTTACGAGAGTTATTGTGACCTTAGGCCCCCAAATCTAGATTTTAAGTGCCCCACAAAATGTTTGTGCCTGGTGTCATTCAGAAACCGTTCAAAATATAACATTGCGCTTTTTTTCATTTGATAGAGCGTTAAACAACAAACACAATTAAAGCGAGAACCACTGTTCTATCTTTGATTGTTTTTGAGATATTTCAGATTTACGTAGTTTTGAATGAAAAAATACGCATTTGATAATGTTCAAATCTGAATACTTCCAAAACGGTAAAAGATATGAGAGCTTCCCTTCATAGAGAATAACGTTAATTCATTTTGTTCTTTCTAATTTAAAAAAAAACGGAATCTTGAAAATGAGTGGTTTCCGATGAGGACGTCTTTAAATCTAAGAAGTTGAATCAAGTCATCAACAAACATTTTTTTGCGGAAAAATAAAAATTTTTGTAGTAGTTGTTAGTTTCTTATCGTCGATCATAATTGTAAAAAATCATGAGGTCCATTATTATATTTCTTTTAAACGTTTGCCTGGCGAAGATAGGCTTTATGAACTAGTAATAAATACATCAGCAAGGTACAATAATATAGTATCAATGTAAAAAAACATCGTTCCACGGATAGTATATTTATCAGGCCATCTCCACGAGTGCATTTGGTACCATGGCAGGAAAAGGGCATTCCTGACACTGCTGTGACTGCAAAATGGGCAATACAAACTGACCACAGTGAATCAGTAGCAGTGCGTGGGAAAACACACATTTGTGTCAGCTTTGTGCAAATCAAGATTTAAAGTTATCACATAAATACCGATCAAATCAAAGCAAATGACGGCTGCTCATGTATTCACTTCGGTGAAGGGGTCTACCTTTGTAATTCTCCGTAACATTTTGTAAGAATGTAAAAAACAACCCTCCATGATCAATTATTAAAATAATCCACTTAAACGCATCAATAAAACAAATGAATTGTACTACCTGTCAAACATAGTGTTCACACAACTACACAGCTCATGTCACCTCTAATCAAGCCAGTCAGGACCGACCATGCACACAAGGGTATTTACGTCTTACCTTAACTCAGCCCAGCTGTAGTAATGTGCCGTGTCGGGAAATGCCACTCCCATTATGAATGTTTAACCGTTGCACCTAAAACGTCCAAATGGTCTGCATTTTTACATCTACTTTAAAGCAGCTCAAACTATTCGCATAGCATCTGTAAAACCAAAGCCACAGGCAAGGCCCCATGCGTGCCTTCCTTGTTGTCGGATTGTTGTTGTGCTGACCTGCCGCTGAGTCTTTATGACATAGACATGTTTCCATGGACTCCAGTATCCAACAACAAACCGTAAAGCTGCGAGTCATGTGGGGGCAGAAGCGAGGGCCATTGTCCCCCTTGTGTGGACTCGTGCGGTGTTATCTTTACGCCTCATTGTTGTGGCAGAACGACGACGTCAGCTCGCCGTTCAGTCACGTTTAGCGTCGTGTCTATGTTGCCTGGTGTGGGGCTGGCCCGAGCTGGAGGTTGCGGGCGCCACGCACGCCCACCAGTTGCAAGTGAAGGCGAATTAAAACATCGACCAGTTCTCGTCGCCGAAGCACACAACGTCGTCCTCGAGTGTCTCCTTGAGGCTCGACTTGACAACAAAGCCACACACGCGAGCGCCGCTCAAGCGGGGGGTTGGTTGCACGCGGCGGGTGGACAATTGGCGACTGCGCGTACGAGCGTGGCTGGTTGTGTGGCCTCCGACTCCCTTGTTTGTTGAGCCCTTGCACGTGCTGCGACGCCTGTTAACTGCATTAGCCGGCATTTTTGTCGTCTTTTGAAGCCGACTAAATGTTCACGAATACTCTTTGGTTCTTTCGGTGAAGTCACGTAGGTATAAAATCAAATAAATCACGACGTTTCGGGCGCAACACAAGTGTCCATCATCACAAGCGTCCATCAGGTGGGAAATCACGCTTTCTCACCTGATGATGGACGCTTGTGTTGCGCCAGAAACGTCGTGATTTATTTTATTTTATACCCACGTGACTTTACCGAAAGACCCAAAGAGTATGGATTCCTGCAGCCACGAAAGTTTCAAATCAAGAATGTTCACGAATGTTTTGCTTCTTGTTGTTGTTGTGCCGACTGACCTCTACCCCAACGTTTCATCATCCAGAGCATAGCTTTAAAACTGGTGGAGCTAATCAGAATTGGAATGATGGGGGTGGGGGGATAGGTAAGGTAGTGGATGCCCTCAACTCTCATAATTCCCAGCAGCAATCACAATTCACCAGACTGGCTGTTTCACTACTGGACATCTGTGACGACTGGACATGTGGGAAAAGAGCTTTAAAGCTCATCAGATTCCTCCAATATAAATATATAATTCTGATTTTGATCCCATCCACACTCTGGCCAAACACCACAATGCAGGTCAAATCACGGATGACATCAGTGGCAGTAATTCCTCCGCACCTCCGATTAGCACGGTTGGCTGCGTATGGTGCAAAAGAAGTTCAACATGCATATGTAACGGGTTCCGGAGACACTTGTAGAGGTAACTTCTTTATTACAATCCAACAGTCCAACAGTCCAACAGTCCTGATACTCTGTAACAACTCCCAGGTACACAGCCTAGATACACTACTCTGGCTACGCTCTGGAACTCGGCCTCACAAGGTCGTAGAGTCGGGAGTTCCAGAGTCCCACCACTGGCTCTCACAGCGTCCCAGGGTCCTCCGATGGCTGGTCTTGGGTCTTGGGTCTTGAGCTACGACTGGCCCTGATCGTCCAGGAAGCTCCCCTTTTATGCCTAGTCCCCAACGAGGGGTGGGGCCGTGTGCGCCCCCAGATATCCCACAGAGCACACACAGCCCCCCCCCCCCCCCCTTTGGGGGCGCCAAGGGGCTTAAGCGCCTGGGAACCCAATGCCTGGCGCCAAGAGGCTTAAGCGTCTGACTCGCCTGGGAACCCACGCCTGGCACCAAGGGGCCCAAGCGCCTGGCCCGCCCAGGGTCCCAGAGCCCCCAGCAGCCCCTCCCTTCTTATGTCACTACACATACGTGCATACAATACACTTACACTCACTCAACCACTCACCACACTGCAGGTCACATTACACACCTATCCACTCACTCACCACACTTCAGGTCACATTACACACCCATCCACTCACTCACCACACTGCAGGTCACATTACACACCCATCCACTCACTCACCACACTTCAGGTCACATTACACAGCCATCCACTCACTCACCACACTTCAGGTCACATTACACACCCATCCACTCACTCACCACACTTCAGGTCACATTACACACCTATCCACTCACTCACCACACTTCAGGTCACATTACACAGCCATCCACTCACTCACCACACTGCAGGTCACATTACACACCCATCCACTCACTCACCACACTTCAGGTCACATTACACACCTATCCACTCACTCACCACACTTCAGGTCACATTACACACCCATCCACTCACTCACCACACTGCAGGTCACATTACACACCCATCCACTCACTCACCACACTTCAGGTCACATTACACAGCCATCCACTCACTCACCACACTGCAGGCCACATTACACCCAGTCACTCACTTACCACACTGCAGGCCACATTACTCACCCATCCACTCACCACACTACAGGTGACATTACACACCCATCCACTCACTCACCACACTACAGGTCACATTACACACCAATCCACTCACTCACCACACTGCAGGCCACATTACACACTCATCCACTCACTCAGCACACTGCAGGCCACAGTACACACCCATCCACTCACCACACTGCAGGCCACATTACACACTCATCCACTCACTCACCACACTGCAGGCCACAGTACACACCCATCCACTCACTCACCACACTGCAGGCCACATTACACACCCATTCACTCACTCACCACACTGCAGATCACATTACACACCCATCCACTCACTCACCACACTGCAAGTCACATTACACACCCATCCACTCACTCACCACACTGCAGACCACATTACACACCCATCCACTCACCACACTGCAGGTCACATTACACAACCATCCACTCACTCACCACACTGCAGATCACATTACACACCCATCCACTCACTCACCACACTGCAAGTCACATTATACACCCGTCCACTCACTCACCACACTGCAGGCCACATTACACACCCATCCACTCACCACACTGCAGGTCACATTACACACCCATCCACTCACTCACCACACTGCAGATCACATTACACACCCATCCACTCACTCACCACACTGCAGGCCACATTACACACCCATCCACTCACCACACTGCAGGTCACATTACACACCCATCCACTCACTCACCACACTGCAGATCACATTACACACCCACCCACTCACTCACCACACTGCAAGTCACATTATACACCCGTCCACTCACTCACCACACTGCAGGCCACATTACACACCCATCCACTCACCACACTGCAGGTCACAGTACACACTCATCCACTCACTCACCACACTGCAGATCACATTACACACCCATCCACTCACTCACCACACTGCAAGTCACATTACACACCCATCCACTCACTCACCACACTACAGGTCACATTACACACCAATCCACTCACTCACCACACTGCAGGCCACATTACACACTCATCCACTCACTCAGCACACTGCAGGCCACAGTACACACCCATCCACTCACCACACTGCAGGCCACATTACACACTCATCCACTCACTCACCACACTGCAGGCCACAGTACACACCCATCCACTCACTCACCACACTGCAGGCCACATTACACACCCATTCACTCACTCACCACACTGCAGATCACATTACACACCCATCCACTCACTCACCACACTGCAAGTCACATTACACACCCATCCACTCACTCACCACACTGCAGACCACATTACACACCCATCCACTCACCACACTGCAGGTCACATTACACAACCATCCACTCACTCACCACACTGCAGACCACATTACACACCCATCCACTCACCACACTGCAAGTCACATTATACACCCGTCCACTCACTCACCACACTGCAGGCTACATTACACACCCATCCACTCACCACACTGCAGGTCACAGTACACACTCATCCACTCACTCACCACACTGCAGATCACATTACACACCCATCCACTCACTCACCACACTGCAAGTCACATTACACACCCATCCACTCACTCACCACACTACAGGTCACATTACACACCAATCCACTCACTCACCACACTGCAGGCCACATTACACACTCATCCACTCACTCAGCACACTGCAGGCCACAGTACACACCCATCCACTCACCACACTGCAGGCCACATTACACACTCATCCACTCACTCACCACACTGCAGGCCACAGTACACACCCATCCACTCACTCACCACACTGCAGGCCACATTACACACCCATTCACTCACTCACCACACTGCAGATCACATTACACACCCATCCACTCACTCACCACACTGCAAGTCACATTACACACCCATCCACTCACTCACCACACTGCAGACCACATTACACACCCATCCACTCACCACACTGCAGGTCACATTACACAACCATCCACTCACTCACCACACTGCAGATCACATTACACACCCATCCACTCACTCACCACACTGCAAGTCACATTATACACCCGTCCACTCACTCACCACACTGCAGGCCACATTACACACCCATCCACTCACCACACTGCAGGTCACATTACACACCCATCCACTCACTCACCACACTGCAGATCACATTACACACCCATCCACTCACTCACCACACTGCAGGCCACATTACACACCCATCCACTCACCACACTGCAGGTCACATTACACACCCATCCACTCACTCACCACACTGCAGATCACATTACACACCCACCCACTCACTCACCACACTGCAAGTCACATTATACACCCGTCCACTCACTCACCACACTGCAGGCCACATTACACACCCATCCACTCACCACACTGCAGGTCACAGTACACACTCATCCACTCACTCACCACACTGCAGATCACATTACACACCCATTCACTCACTCACCACACTGCAAGTCACATTACACACCCATCCACTCACTCACCACACTACAGGTCACATTACACACCAATCCACTCACTCACCACACTGCAGGCCACATTACACACTCATCCACTCACTCAGCACACTGCAGGCCACAGTACACACCCATCCACTCACCACACTGCAGGCCACATTACACACTCATCCACTCACTCACCACACTGCAGGCCACAGT